AACGCTGAGGGAATGCGTGAACCAAACACAAAGGCGGCCGCACTTTTAAGCCGCCCCAAACGGAGCCGAAGTTGCGAGAGTTTGAGAGTTTTCGGGTTTGAAAGAGCATTGCCATTTAGCGTAGCTCTTTTAAAGTCATATATGTGGAATGGACATTATCATCTGAGATTTGAAATGAGAAAAAAATGGTGCTTTGTTGAAACAACTTCGGCTGACGTGTTACCAAAAAAAAAAAAAAAACAATTTCACGCTTGCAACAGAACAGAATTTCACTATCTTCTCAAATAAAGCCTTCATCTCTAAAGAGGTAACCCTTTCGATCTTCGTTAAAAAGTTAAAATACTGATATTTTTTATGTGATATGAAATATTTGTGAGAAACAGAAAGAGACATGTAAATAGAAAAGGCAGAGTTTAGGTGTTAGATATGTAAATACAAAGGAATTGGGTGGTATGTATGTGAATAATTTCTAAACTGATGAAAAGAGAGAATTGTGACACACCAATAGTTAACCCAGTTTCAAACTGTTGAATAATGCAATTGAATAGCATGTACTAATTGCATCTAAACGTTTGAGATCTATTCTAGCATGCGCCAGTCTCGCAACTTTTCAGGCTATAAAAGGTAAACTTATAGACAATAATTGTGAGTAATGACAACTTCACTTAACGCAGCAGAAGTACTGCCAAAATGAATTTTTTTTTAAATATTCATTGAAAATAAGTGTTTTTTTTAATCTACAATTATATTTTATTTCAAATTAATAAATACAATTAACTGCATTGGCCTTTTCATCCAAAACTACTTTTGGCCAAATACAGAATAACTGTATGGCATGTATGTAAGTGCCCCTTTCTTTTTAGACTTTGCATTTGGCATCGCATGCAAAACCTCTGTTGGCAGTACTTGCGCTGGGTTAAGTGAAGTTGTCATTTTACTCACAATTATTGATGAGCCGTTCTATAAATTTACCTTTTATAGCCTATAAAGTTGGGGGAGGGGTGCATGCCAGAATAGATCTCAAATGTTTAGATGCAAATAGTACATGCTATTCGATTACATTATTCAACGGAGTTTGAATTGGGTTAACCATTGCGTTGAATATTCTAAGTACATAAGAATTGTGTGGTTTTTTATGTAAATTTTCCTTTTAGGACATCTTAAAACTTGGCAAAAGTTGAAATGAGTGCTAAAGGATCAAGTTGTGGTTAGTTTTCACCCGTTTATTTGGTTGAAGAGAAATTGGGTGAATCAATAAATAGAAAAATATGACTATTTGAACAATTAAAATGTAGTAATTACATTGGTATAAAATTATGAAAAAAATCATTTTTGTGTTTTTTACATAAATCTTTTGAAACAGCGGGCTTGAGATTTTTTCCTCACCACACCCTATAACTGCTCAATGACAGCGCGGTCTCACATCCCGAAAGAGCTCTTCGGGGTGGTGGACAGTCCATGACTAAAATACTGCTTTTTGGCCCTACAACTAGCTGATGTGAAACTTTTTGTCCGTGACATTTTCTTTCACACAATCACGCGACACTCTCGTCACGGATCGGCTTTCCCGATGGTTT